GGATGCGCCGCATATTTCCGCCCGCATATCCGCACGCGCGCTCCGACAGACCTCTGCATCACCTCCGACCCTGACTCAGACAGAAACCCATTCCGTCTTCAGTCCGTCTTTTGACAGTCTGCCCGACTCTGACAATATTCCTCACTCCAACAATATTCCCAGTCTCTGACAGTATTCCAGACTCTGACAGTACTTCCGACTCCGACAATAATCCCGTCTCTGACACACATGGACAAAGGTGCTTATACTGCACTGTGCCACCCAGCTGTTGCATGCATCCTGACAAATATTCTAGGCTGAAAGGGCACATCAACCTTGTACCTGGACTCATTTCTTCCATCTCGTTGCACAGAATCTCGATATGGTGAGCAATGTCAGTGGTGACAAGACAGGATGTGGAAAGGTATCATGTTAGGCAACCAATAGAGGTAACCCGATCCTTTGGAAATCCCGTTACTACACTGTTCCAGGTATGTGACAACAGCATTGCCTGTGCAGTCTGGATTTCTGGTTGAAGCATAGGGTGCTGAGCCATTAGCTGTGATGCGTGCCTGACTGAATCTTTCCATAGATGCTGGATATCGTGAACTTGGAGCATGGCTTTCCAAATGTTGAAGATGGCAATGGGGACATGGCAAGAGCCAAGCCTGACTGAAGTGGCATTTTTTTCTTGGCCTTCGGAGATCAATCTGTCCAATTCGGAGCATGGAGGACACTTCAGTGTGCAAAGATCCCATTCTGTGAGTTGTTCAATGGAAAATGGATGATCACTGATCAATAAATGATCAAAATTTTTGAACTGGAATTGAAGTGAGGGAAGTTTGATTGTGAGGAAGTTGGCCACGGTTATGGTTTGGGAAGGAAAATAGGATCCAATCAGGTGTGGTGGAATGCCCGCATATGGAATTGTTTCATTAGTGCAGGAAATTATCTGTCGAGCCAGCGTCCATGCTGTACAGTCGTGGACAGGCAAATACATTAAAGTTTCCAGACTGGAATTTTTCATCACAATAAGCTCAATTTTGAGGGAAACAAATTCTTATTGGGTGTAGCTACCCAAAAACGGTGTTTTTAGATTTTTCTCTCTTTTTTTTAGCCCCGGACAATTTTTTGAGCAAAAATTTTCACATGTTATGAGTATTTGAGTGACTTCGCAAGAGTATATCAACATTTAGAAGGCTCAGGTGAATTTAAGTTGAGAATGGCCTCCATTGCAGCCATTGCTGCTCCAGATGCAGTGCGATGGCCCTTCTGTTTTTTTACTGCCCACTCTGCAGCCTTCCCAGTCAACCCACTACGATATGCATCCATAAAACGCCATGCACGATTAATAAACTTGCGAATAGTGCTGAGGGGGCATGAGTTCAAACACTCAAGCACTGCTGTCTTGGCAGCTGCAAAGGAAGGTTTCCAAATGTCACGATATCGGTACTTGCAATACCCCCAGTACTGTGAAACCATTAGACACATGCCAAGGAATATTTGAAAACAAAACATACCATTTCAATCGGATTGAGCTCGCAGTGAAACTTTGGCAAGAACATGCAAAGATGTCCGGCTTTCTCAATTAGTTCCTCGAGCATAGATTTCTGATTAATGAAATCAGATTGCCGACTAAGAATGCGTGCAAGGCAGCAGTCTGTGTTCTCAAATGAACAGACTGGCTTGCATTTTGCATTTATCCCTTTTGTATCCAAGCCACGCTCTGTCAACACCGACTCTAGACCTTTTGCTTTGCCATCGGGGGTTTTCATTGCTTGCTTCTTTCCGCGTTGGGAGATGTCTGGGACACTCTCATCATTTGGGATCACTGTATCATGTCGAATTCTCTGTTTTCCACCATCAGATCGATTCATGTCGAAAGCATTCAGGGCATCGGGGCCAAGTGACGTGTGGGCTGAGGACTGGTCAAAAATGAATAGAGCCTGACATCCTGGATAAGCACGCTCAAAAATTGGAATGGCCTTGGTCCGCATTTGATCCAACAGTTGATTAGTGTCCCACCAAGAATCACCACCAGTCCCAGGATAGATTATTTTTCGAGCATCGTTGTCTTCTGATATTGTCCCATCTGAGTTGGCAACCACGAGCCGGCCACTCTCCTCATTAATGAAGTCAGAGACATGAATGAGCCGGCCACAGCTCTTCTTTTGAAGGATTGTCTCCCCTGGTTTGAGCCTAGATTAGAGAAATGCAATGTGAATTGTTAATGAATTGATTGAGTGCCGCAAAATAATCGGTATTTCATACCACACGCTTTGTTTGAACTCACTTGCATGGAAGCAAGTCTCATCATGGAATAAGGGAATGAGGCGCTTCTCCCCCTCTTCTAGAAGGGGCTCTTTGCACTCCAGGTTATAGCCATGATATTGAGTCATGCGGCGCTCAAGCTCTTTCATCTGTGGCAAAAACACCTCATTGCGATATTTTACCACATCCTCCCGCTCATGACCATCCATATATACACCCTTTCTCAGCACACATCGCCGATATCCCATCCTCAGAAGCCACCGCCTAGCTGTCCGATGTGAGAGTGGGCGCTTAAGCGCGATGCCGAGTTCTGGCAGTATAGTGGTGTTGAGGGCTCGGCAGAATGTTGAGGGTGTCATCTCCTTTGAACTTTGGTTTGCCAGCCACACACGGACAGCAGCTGAAACATCTGGGTCTTCCAGGTGGGGTGGGCCTTTTCTGTATCCGCCACGCCACTCAATTGGAAGAGTTTCATGTTTTTCATAATATCGCGCAAGAGCCCGAACACGCGATGCAAAGTATGCACCATCTCCATCATGCCGGTCAATGGCTATGTGAATACTTGCTGCAATCCATTTATAGCCTTTGATACGCAGAGTCGCAAAGCTTCGGAGCAGCTCATATTGATGCAACTTCGTCTGAAGTCAGCATCACATCCCTAAAGTAAGGGCTCATAGTTGCTTACTTGGTGCAATGACAAGCTAACTTTCTTCTTCTTCTTCTGTTGATCCAGGATATCATCGATTCCATCCCGCAATTCCTCCCACGATTTCAATTTCGGCTTCACCAGTGATGGTTGCACGACATTGTTCATCAAATCATTCACTTCTTCATCATCAACCCCATCCATAGCATCAATTCTGTCACCCACACCATCACTTTCATCCATCTCAGTGTGTTGGTCTGGGATCTGACGCTGGCGCTTCCCCATGGACTCGGGTTCAGTCAGCGGAAGTGGTATTCCCATAATATGCGGCGCGCGCCTTCGCTTTGCTGGAAGTGGGGTTGGAAGTGGGTCATTGTCATCTACCAGTGCCACTGCTGGTGTGTCGCAAGGAGTGGGATTGGGGCCGACCTCACTGGACTCGGAATTCAGGGACTCAACCGCACTTGCAAGATAGGATGGATTTGAAGTGGAAGATGAGGGACAGGGTTTATGGAAGGATTGGGCCCGGGGAGTGCATTTGAGCCCAGTTAAACTCGTCTGTGTCAGTCTTTCTTTCTTTTCCTTCGCTCTCCATCTGCGCTTTGACCGTTCACACTTGTTTGCTATGACAGGCCCGGTGGAGTAAGGCATCTTTGCCTCATGCAACTCTGTAGGTTCCTATGGTCAACTAGGATTCAAATATAAGGGACACTCACTATTTTTCCTTTCTCCAGCCACCTGTGCAGCTTTTGCACGCGCTTTCAAACTTGCCGGACTCACACCCTTCTTGGGGATATAATCGAGTTTGTCGACATACTCCGCTATTGCTGCCACCCTCTTTGCCATTGTGTTTTGTAAGCTTGTATCCTCCTTGCTCTCTCCATTGTCCATGTATGAATTGATGTCTTCACCAGAGTCCGACACACTGAAATCCTCATCTTCGGAAGCAAGGAATGGGATTAGCGGGTATGATTCTGAGTTTTGACTGTAGTCAGGGCCCCAATCATCATTTTCGCTATTATCAACTGCTTCTGGGACAGATTGGAGCCAGCTGAGGAGTGACATCAAGCGCCGGATACTAAACAGGGAAGGCAGCGCTCCGCTACTTCGGAAGCAAAACCCTCGCAGCATGTTGATCATCACATTCACGCTTCAAACCCATCTCCCCTGGAAATCTGAATTCAAAATCACGTTCTGCTTGCAATTGTCTTTAATTTGATGTATTTTTCGAGCATAGGCGCTTATTTTTGAGCGTGCGGACAATTTTTCTCCAAAATCAAGAAATCAAATCTTTGAATTCACGCTTATGGTTGGTGGGAAATGATTACTAGGGATGTAATGAACTGTTTCCCGGCGTTTGAGACTTTTCGCGAATATATTTAGCCTGTTTGCCTGTCCACGACTGTACTGAGGAAAAGGGAGCACAACTAACATTTGGGAAAGGAGCCCAAACGGAGTATAATACAATTTGAAATTTATTCGGATTTAAGACTAACTTCACCGTCGGAGACCGTCACTCTCACGCACATACCGCTATCGCCGGATGTCTGTCACACATGTACCGCTATCACCGGTTGTCTGTCACGTCTCATCAGGAGCAGCCGGTTTACTCTCCCAGCGTGACGCTCCAACCCCACCCGGTAGTTGGTCGTGTATGTACAGTATTCACGAGCGGATGGGGAGAGATGGTGTAGGGCAGCCGATGATGCGGATAGTCCCACGGTCTGTGCACTAGTACAACACAGCGGATGAAGGGGCGGGTGTGATAACGAGCAAGCGGGAGGGCGCGGGAAGAGAACTCGGTTATTGATGGCGCGATGAGTCGACCTCGTGAATTAATTTCTGGATAGTTGTAGGAATATGACGGATACTGCCGGCTTCCACTCTTGAGCATTCAGCCTTTTGCGCTTTCACATCGTTAGATGGTTTGCGGACATGTCTTCCTCTCCACATCTTCCCAACGCGTGCATCCACACAGGCATGTTGGCTACACAAAACTCTCAAACTGAAGGCAGGTTTTATTGCGTTTGAGACAAGGAAATGTACAGGACGGATTGTGGCGGAGGCGGAACCGCTCCAGTAAGGATGAGGATGAGTTAGATGGCACAATAGCCACACAACAAATCTTTAGGCGGTCTCACTTTACAAGAAAAGGTGAAAACCGTGGTTGAGAGTAAGAGATTTACTGAGTCGTGAACAGAAGCAAGAGCCACCGACTTGTACTTCCGCCATATTAGGACATTCTGCAAAAGTGGATCGATAGCAAAAGGTGCCTGGAAAAGCGCCAAACAAGATGAAGCATTTTTTATTTTTATTCACCACACTTCACCTTGTAGCTCACGGAACTCATCATCTTGCCCACAATCCCAATTACAGTCGCCTTTCCTGCCTGCAGGCGCTCCCCGCTGCTTGTTATAGTGAGATAGGTGCATTGTGCGACCAAAGTCGACCAAGCGGAACGAAGGATCTTTCAGACTACGACTCCGCGGGGGGAGTGTAAGCGGACCAGGTTGGACTACGACATTACGAACATGAGCGGACTTGTGTGTATAATCTGCAAGATGCATTCGATGTAAGAGCGACATGTACTTGTTCCTGTTGGTTACTTGTCAAGGCAGTTCTTAACTTTGATGAATAAAATATAGACTTGCCGATTATCATTACTCATCCGCCATGGACTGATCTGACTTCCACAGTGCTCCATCAAGAGAATAGGGCTCAGACCTTCGATGAATGCTTTCATGCATTCCTTGAGCACTTGGTCAAGATCCTTCTCTTCCTCAGCATAGTACTCTGGATCGTAGACGGGCTTGTAGTAACCATAGAATTTCGGGACCACAGGACCAGAAGGGACAGGGCTCTTGAATTTGGGAGTGAAGAGAACATAGCCATTGCCTCCTTCGGACATAGCGTCAGGGAACGAAGCGTATATCCCCGCTTCGTTCTCAAGGAGTTGCCGCGCCTTGTAAGACCTATCATGCGCCATTTTGCAAGCAACTGAGACTTCTCCAGTAGGAGTGCGAGCAGAAAGTGGATGAGGTAACCTGAGCGAGACGAGATAAACGTCAGAATGGTTCCCCCTCCCCAGCTTATAGTTTAAAGAGAGGTCCAGTTTCGCCACGCGCAACGCTTGCGTCAAGGAAGGCGATCCTTGCTTGGGATTGTCTGCCGGAGAGGGCAAAACTCGTCTGAATTTGACCGGCTTATCAAGGACCGAGGAGTACTCGTCAGAGATAGGCGCACCATGCGACGAGTGATAACGAATGGCGTTTCCACAGTCTTCCACCATTAGTATATCAGGAAGGAATTCGGGCGGGATGTTTTCCTCCAGGGAAGGCGGCATCTTAGATAGCTGCAAATTCCATATGTTGGTTGCTGGATCTATGTCACTCTCCTCGTCTTTTTCATCTCCAGGGACTGGGCAATCGCCTACGAAATCGACGGGTGGTTCCTCGTCAAGGCTGGGGCGAGATCGGACTGGTCCATTCTCCTCAGTTGCTGGTGTGCATTCCGGCAAGACAGTGCCCGGAGGGCTTTTTAGCGGCGGCTCGGGTGAATCCACTGGAGACATGGCTACAAGGGCATCATCAGGTTTCGGATCGTCACTTCCCTCTTTCAGGTCTCCTGAAAGAAGAGTTAATGCGAAGCTCTACTGAATTCGAGAGGCCGTTCGGCAGACCTAAGTCATTCAACCTTCCCACCCCATTTCCAATCACACCCGCAAACCAAGGCCCCCACTTTCCACCAAACTTGGAAAAGATAGGTTCAGTGGTGTCCTTCCCACACACTTCACAGTCAGAAAAGTTCCCCCTTTCGCATGCCTTACATGCCGTATCTATGATGTAAAACGTCGGGTGTCCGCCAGGGAATCTAAGAATCTTGGTTCCTAATGCGCCTGTTAGTGAACTATCCTCCGAGGGTGCCTTGATAACGTCCCATTGTTTTTGAATTGTGATAAGGACCCCTAAAGAAAAAAGTACAAACGTCGGTGAACGGGCATTAATTGAAAGCGGGTTTTATCTACGCATGGGAGCTCCACTAAATATGCACGGCATATCAGGATCGGCGAACCAGGCCGTCGAGTCGTCTTTAATGAACAACGGGTTTGGTGCATGGAAGTGGGAAACATAAATAACTGGAGGAGGGTCAACGGTGCACTCGGAGCAGAGGTGTGCTCCAACGCTTTCACAAAGAGGGCAGTCCAGTTTAGCGAGAAAATAAGCTTCATTAATACCCCCCCTGAAAACAACAAGCTTCGGTCCATCCTCTACAGAAATCTTCTCTATTAGGCCCTTTTGGATGACTTCGCTTCGACCTGGTGGCCAGTCCTTGTTAAATCCCTTTTCGACTTGGTAGCGAAATGTAAGCCCCGGTCCACATCAATACAGCATCGATACGTCAACGTACGAAGTTTCTTAAATGCATCTCTGCCAGAGAGTGGCCTAGTTTCCCCCTCGTCATCGGAGTCAACGTCAATAAGGACCGCATGGCACTTATTGTAATCATCACTATCGTAATCCGATCCCGGATCGACGACCCCGAAACCATATTTCCTGCTCTCCACCTTCATTCGCTTGGGGAGTTTCAGAAGTGGCCAAGGTTTCCTTCTTCTCGGAGGAGGCCCGAACCTGTGCCGTTCATCTCCGTAGTTCTCTCCAAACCATTGCATACTTCGTGACCAGATTGTGGTGAGACCCCGCCCCTCGATATGAGCAACGCGAAAAAAGTCATCAAGGCTGTGACCCCAGATAATACGTTTAGGTGTTACTTGGCCATCCTTCTCATCCAGAAGCGGGCCAGTTGGATCGCGAGGCCGTTGAGATCGGGCTTGGCACTTGGATTCGGACATTCAACAACCTCTCCACTGGCAAGGTTAAACACGAAGGGTAGACTATACGAGACAGGAAAAAAGCAGATAGGCTGAGTTTGAGGTGGCAGGAGCCGCGCAAAGCAGGTCCCAGCAGGCTAACCGGAATCAAAAAAAGAAAAGAAAACTTACTGCCAGACTCAAGTCAAATTCTCCTTGTCAATCATCCTTGTGGGATACCACCAACCTTATCCACCGCGGATTGATTCATTTTGAACATGCCAGCGGTTTGTGTTTGTTTCGATGACAGGTGCCTGTTGCCTCCGTGCTTGTTTATATATAGCCACTATTATAGTATTATTATGAATCGATCTGGACTCTGAATTGCCATCACCAATCACTAACGGCCCCACCGACGCAGTCAGTTCCCAAAGTCGCTTGATTGTATATATTCAAATTAGGAAGGGCTGTTGTTGCACAACCATGGATGTATTAGAGGATACGGTGGCAGGATCCCAGCCTCTACTACACAAAGTAGAAGGAGACGGGGAATCGGGTAAAATTAAAAATGGGTAAATAGCGGGGAAACGGGCCGTTGGCGACACTGCCTGAATCATGATGAGAGGGTAAGGGGACGGTAGACGTAGAAACGAAAAAAACTGGTCGTCAGGTTATTGGGCCAGGCGGGGCTACAAGGATAATCAGCAGGCGGGGGAGGGCAGGCAAACACTAGGTTCTATTCGCGGGTGTTGTGCACGGATGCGTGTAATTTCGAACAATCACCCTGAAACCGTCCCACCGAGGGTCCCGAGGGTCGGATATACTCAATGAGCCCATCCCCAGCAAATCAGCGCAATTCATGAGAAGCGTGGCCAAAAGGCAGACATTTCATCATCTGCCGCATGTTATTATACGCTTGCATCCCATCGATGGTCTGGTCGCAAAGAAGCCTGTGCAAAGCATGTTCCTCGCGAGGTGCCCCTAGTGGATGTGCCTATTGTTTAACGGTTGTCTGGCTGAAGAGGTAGCCTCCACCTTGCCAGAACCGGCTCATAAAAGTCGGGTTCCCCTTCAAAAGGAAATTGCATCACACTGACCGACAGCGGCCCGCGGACGTGATTTATACTGCACAACGGCGCCAACACAATCGAAATACCTCGCTTAGAAAGATATCACGATCACCTGGATCTTCGATTGGTCGCGAAGTGCTATCGGTCAACGGGTTTCGAGCCTTTCGGCAGTCAATTCCAGCTTACGCAGGTGGATTTACTGCTAAACGTGAGCAAGACGCAGAACCCGCTGATTTCAAACCATCCAGTTGGTTTTCGGATTCTGAAGGAAGTGCCACCCCCATTCCTTTCGACATCAAGAGAGTGGGCGCTTAGCAGGGTGCTGTACCTGAGAACCCGGAGATGATCCCATTCGAGGATCTGTGCAGTCACCAATGTCCGGCCCTGCTCAGTCCTCTAATTAACTGACGATGTTGGCACCCCCAATGCCAATCCAAGTGTTGTCCTGCTCGCCCCATGCCATCATGTGCGCACTCAAAGTCCCCACGCACAATGAACGGAACGGACTGTCAAGAATGCAAGCACTGCACCATAGAAGGCTGAGCAGCGGGCTAAGTTGGGGTTGTTCTCCTCTTCCCCATCTAAATCGGAGTCCCCAGAAAAGCGCTATAGAAAGATTTGCATCCTGCTTTGACTCAGTTGGTGAGGGCTTCAGATTTAGGCAAGATTCATGATACCAATCACCAATGAAGCTCGGTCCGAACGTCGCGTATGAAGCATTGGAGCATAATTTCCGTTTCGACAGTAGGGTCGTAAAGCCTCCCACATCGCCTATAAGGGTTTTCCGCATTCGGATCTTCCGTAATGCATTGGAGTCGTGCATTTGATTGATGTAGGACAATCGCAATGGAATTCCCCCTAAGAAACTGCGTGTAAGCATCGGACAAGGTGACCGGGTGAGCGCTTGGGAGTAACTTCCATGCCAGGCGATGCTACGGGCAGAGCAGACTCGGCCGAATTCTCCTTTGCGGATGTTACTATGATCTCTGATGTGCTGATAATGTCTTCCGAGAATGACGATCCTATCATCACTACTTACCTCCCATCGGTTGGATGGTGCGTTGACTGGGTAGCAAACAAAGCACAAGAACGGGACCTGTTGTCTGCTTGATATTTAATCTGCGAGCTCCAGGCTGTTCATGAATGAAAGTAGGTTGCGTTCTGTTTATTGTTGTTTATCATTGCGGGCGGGGGTTTTAGCAGATAAGCAGACTCGGCCCCAGTCGTTCCAGGGGAACGACTGGTGGAAAACATTGCATCCGGGATGATGTAAGCGCTACATGTGACTATACCGACGTCGGTTCAATGTATATCACTATTTACACCTACTTCGATGTAAACTCGAGAACGGCATGGCCACCGACTCCATCCCTATCCTATCCGCACCCATATGTTGAGCCAACGGAAGATACAATAAGGAGAAATGTCGCTGACGTCTTTGGGAAGACTCTTTGTGGTTTCCAATTGAGAGCAGTCGTTGCCCAGATCCATCGGAGGGATTTGCTCTTGACAGCTCTGGCAAAACTTGGTGCCATTGCTGTATAATGGCGGAAGGATAAGACTGTAATCCTTACAATGAGTAGGAGTGCAACCTGCCGCTTCTCACTACGGGAACGGCTCCTTTGAGACGAAGGTGGGAGGCCACTAGAATCTAACCAGCAATCATCATCGTCATTATTTTCGTTTTCCAAATCGTCAATGTCCTCCCATTTATCCAGTTCAACAATTTCCCCAGGGGTAAATGTCGCCGAAAGGAGACAGCCAATAAAATGCCACAAAGTAGGAGCTTTATGGGAGAATTTCTTCGCTGTCCGCTGAATAGACGGAAATTTAACTTCCTTGTGTGTCATTGATGAAGCTGAGAAATGGAAGCCAGAGGCTATGTCTGTTAGGCAATCGAGCTCATTCGTGAGTTGTTGGCGAGTGTAAAGGAGCACTGAAGCGAGAAACAGGGTAGGATCCAGCGAGTAGAGCATTTAGAGACACTCTCCCTTTCAATAATGAGACCAACAAGCGTAGGGAGAGACCCCTTGATTTTATGGAGATTTGTGGGGTTGTGACGCAGATCATCGCTAAGGCAAGCGTCGAGAAATTCATACAATATCAGACCATTTGCTTCGAAGGAGTTAAGCACAGCCTCTACACGCGCTCTCTTCGGCACTTGAAGGGGTAAAGGAAGTGGGGACTCATCATATCGGACAGTGAGATCAGTTGCGCAATAATATTCTTGTTGAGTGTTGTTTGTTCGATTCAATATGCACAAATAACAGTATACGGCTGTCGTGGGAAAATGTTTTCCACCAGCCGTTCTGACAAGATAAACAAGCATAAACAGAACGGCTGGGTACGAGCCTGGCAGATAAGGATAAAACGTTATGTCGCTAGCTGCAGAAGACAATCTTATTCCATCCCCATGTCAGGTCAGTGCACACGCCCGAGATGAAGTGCAGCCAGGTCATCATGAAGCTTCGGTGCACGGCTTTCTCGGGCTTCTCTGAGAGGAGAATTCATAAGGGGGCTTCACTTTCGATCCAATTCCTACGGCCCGTGACAGCCGAACACCGTGCCAATTATCGCTGTAAGGAGCCATATATATACGACAAATCGTTTCACTAGCAACTTTGGAATAGTACATCCAAAGTGGATACACGAATTTTTGTCACTTGCTGCGAACGTCGACGATCCAGTATTGGGACGCGTAAGATGTGGGTCTCCTCAGACTCGGAAACCACGGGGAGATACGTGACTATTTGCACGCCTTTCGCCTGATGTCATCGTGTATTGAAAGCTCGATTTTTGAGGGCGACTTATAGCCCCCGGCCGTCTTGTCTAGAGGGCCAAAACTGCCATTGATGGAGAATCATTCGATTGTATAATAATATCGATGCATCAAACCGCCGTGCCTTGGCTCCCGTAGGTTGGGACTCGTTGGATGACACATTGCCCCCTTCCGTAGGAACAGAATACGAAACACCGTTTAGGGTACGACTCTGCGAACAGACGGGTACGGTCGGCTGGATCGCGACGCATATTTTAATGATCTTCGGTAGCCAATTTTGCTCTTTGTTGTTTGAAGAACGTTGTCATATCACTCTCTTCCACCACTCGACCGCTTGCAGCAAATGGCCGGAGATACTCAATGAGTTCATCCCTATCAGATCAATGTCGTCCATCGTAAGCGTGGCAAAAAGAAAAAGAAGGCGTTTCATCATTATTTACCGCATGTTATTATACGCTTGTATTCCATCGATCGTTTTATCCCGAGGGAGCCTATCCAAAGCACGCATACCGAGTTCCTCCAAAGATGTCCCTAGTGGAAGTGCTCATCGTTTAGTGGTCATCCGGCAGAAGAAATAACCCCCCTGCTCACCAGAATCTGGGTCTTCGGGTGGTTCATACAAGTCGGGCTCCTCTTCAAATAGAAATCTGTATCGTGGATGATTCTTCTCCCATTCAAACATCAATGTACACTGAACAACAGAGACGTGAGGGCGTGATTCGAAACGGTAGCCATACCACGCACATCTGCACAACGACACCAGCGTAATCGGAATCCCTCGCTTAGAAAAATGTCGCAATCACCTAAATCTTCGATTGATGGCGAAGAGCTACCTGTCAACGGCTTCCGAGTCTTTCGGCAGTGAATTGTGGCTTGGGCAAGTGAGTTTTCTGGTGGACGTGAGCACGACACAGAACCGACTGGTTTCAAACCACCAGGAGAGTTTTTGGATTCTGAAGGAGGTGATGCCCCGCGTCGTTGACGCTTCGCTTCACCTCCATTCCTCTCGATATCCGGAGAGAGTGCGCGCTTAGCAAGATGGGGTGCTTGAGACCCTCCCGACGGTTCCACTTGAAGTGCTGTGTAGTCCCCAATGTCGGGCCTTGCTTGGTCCCCTAACTGGCTGTCGATGTCGGCACCCCCAATGACTATCCAACTGTTATCATGCTCGCCCCGTATTATCATGCGCACACCAAGAGTCCCCGCGTACAATGAAAGGAACGGACTGTCAAGAACACAAGCACTGCACACCAGAGATTCATAGGAAGAAGGAGCGATGAGCAAGTTAGGGTCGTCCTCTTCTTCAAGTTCCCCTTCTGAATCGGAGTCCTCGGCAAGGTCTGTCATAGGAGCTGTAGAAACATTTGCATCTTGCTTGGACTCGAGTGACGGAGCTTCGGTTTTTCGTAGATTGAGGCAAGATTCATGATACCAATCCTGCATGATCCCTAATGAGGCTCGGTCCGAACAAAGGGCACAGAGCTACGAACCTCACATACGAGGCATTGGAGCATAGTTTCTGTCTCGGCAGTAGGGTCATAGGGCTTCCCACATCGGCAAAATATCCCCCGGAAATTTTGCCCATATGGGTTTTCGGCGTTGGGCTCCTCCGTAAGGCGATGAAGCATGCAGCTGATAGGGGAGCTTGATGTAGGGCAATCGCAACGGAAATTCCTTTTAGGAAACAATTCTATCTGTTCATGATCTAGGGTGTTGCGCGTGGAAACATCGGACAATGTGACTGGGTGAGCGCTCAGTGGGGTAACTCACTGCCATGGCAGGCGATGCTACAAGCGGAGCACAGGCCGAATGTCCCGTTGCAAGTCTTACACCAATATACGGCCTGCTTAATATGTCCAAGGGAGTACGTGCATTTGTCAAAGGAATGGGGGAGTGCTTTTGAAGCCTGTTTTATGAGACGATCTTGGGACACCAGAAACTGGTCTAAAGACCGAGTGCTAATGATTTCTTCCGAGGATGATGACCCCATCGTCACTACGACCCTTTGGCTGCGTAGATGAAATATTGACTAAGTAATGTAGAGAAGACGCCGGGACACTGCTTTTGAAGGAGTGAATGGCTCGTTTTCCCACGCTCAAACACTTGTTCGAAGAGTGGCTTGTGCGACACGGAATCTCGTCACGCCAGCTTCGGCCCTGATTTCCAATCGCGTGGCGATGGAACCACAGTATAATGAAACGATTGTGGAACTGGCGTTGGGTAAAGGACAGGACAAGTGGAATGACATTTCTAGATGCAGAAGGCGATCTTATTTCTCGACATACCTCACGTCAGCCCAAGATGAAGGCTTCACTGTGTGGCAGATCGCCGAATGTACCATCTCTTCAGGCTTCCTAAAAAGGGTGCATTCATTGATAGGCGTGGGGGAAGGGGTGGGGGGTTCGCTCTGGCGCCAGTAATGCTTGTCCACCCCCTCACTGCTTCTTGCAGTCCGGGCCCCGCCTCCATGGTAAGCCGTACGGGCATGACGGAAGATATATATTCTCAACTCCTTGGGATGGATCTTAGACTGCATCATTCTGAAGCCGCGGTTGCGATGGGAAGAAACAAAACGCGTGCAGAAACGTTTTTCACAAATATGAGGCTCATCCGATAACTCCCCATCCAATGGATGGAGGCCTCTTGATACTCCTGGTTTTAAGCGACGCCTTGAAAGTTTTTGTTGCGACTCTCTTTGGGTCTCGCTGCATGGATACCAAATACCTCAGGGAAATCAAAATATGGCTTTGCATCTCTCACAATCAACACGGCTGCAGAAATAACTGGGTTACTTCCGCGGGGGTGTGACACTGATGGGACCCATGAGGTTGGACGTCCCATCGGGTCACACCTCCTGTGCACACAACCAGAATTATATGCACGGTCATGCACCGTGCATGATACAGTACGACTCAACTCATCCCCATCCCCGTTGCTGGATAGGGGTAACACGGAGGCCTCCCATTTTAGCCCCCGCCGCGCGGCGGCGGTTTTTGCTTAAATACTTGGGTTTATCGCAATCTCATTCGTGAAGATGCAGTATTATCGACGAGAGTCTCAATCTGTGGCTGATGGTCCTTTTGCCAACTCATTGCGATTCCATGCACAACGTATGAACATGTCACTCCATCTAGTGAGTCGTCGACCCCACATCTGTCTAGCCCACTTCGTATACTTACCAAAACCCCAGCAAGACAGGCAGATTGGCTCATCTCAATGGAAGTGTTCGGTTTTTGGTTCGTGTGGACGTCCCCATCGCACCAGCCACCGTCCTTATGACTGATCTGGACTGCTAGTCGACGACAAGCTCTATTCTGCATCGGAACACATCACCCGGGCGGGTGCGCGAGAGAATGCATCAGAGCTAGCGCTCAATGTGCTGTTGGCGGAAGAGAAATCGTAGGGACGGGTTGGACTTGACAATCTTTGTAAGGGTGAATGTAAAGATTACTGGTACTCCAAATATCAGTTTTGTCTCACGGCGCCACTGTATTTCGGAACACCGACACCATCGATTTTAACGGCAATCTCAAAATCGGGTTTCACCTTGTGTACTGAAGAGCGCTTATCGGATAAAACGGGAAATGGTTGCCGAAGGGGGCGGGGGCCGACTCCCCTCGGCTACGGGATATGGGGCCTTTGCCATCACGGACACAAGACAACATGCTGTGATCAGAATGATCGGAGTCTAGTCGAGCATACGCGAAATCGTCTGACTAAAACAAACTCGCTTACGCTTATGCTTCCGCTCTTTGGGCGCTCCAGTAAACGTTGTTTTGGGGTGAAGTTTCAGTGGTTGATTGCCAGGACAGATGCGCGCTGCTCTGATCCCTGCATACAGTTGGTGATATGAAAACGTAGATATGTAACCGCAAGCCTAGATCAAACTGACTAACATGAAACCTTGGGCGCCTATGCAGCGAGAGTAGTGCGATTGCCTCAGCTTCTGCTAAATTCATGCGTAAATAATAGATACCAAGCGCACGCACGCTTTGCCCTTTCGCATAAACCAATGACTAAGCCACGCGAGCCCATCATCCAGTAGCCAAGAGGGGAATGACATTGGCTCGCAGCAAAGAGAGGATGACAAGAACCGAGGACACACATACATTGAATAAGAGAGAGGCTATTTATAAACCAGGATCATGGGGCGTCGCTCATCACACTAGTGGGGCGCTTCAAATATTACTTAAAAATTAAGCTGCGCCAGAGGCCAATGAGCCGGAAAGAGAGCTATCGAGGAAATGCTGGATAAATGTTGTTGTTGTTCTCTATTTTGTAACCCCACGGCCGCCGCGTTGAGGAGTGGCGGTGCAGCCATTCTGAAACTCGAACAATAACACGATAAGGGTGGCTGGTTGAGGTGACGGAATCCTCTGGTTTGTTGGCGTCGGGGGTGTTTGGCTGTACTTAGACGGGGTACCGTGAGACCTTGTCGGCGCACATCCATATTGGGTAGGGTCAGCCGATAAAATAGGAGGGTGAGAGAGAGAGAGAGAAGTGTTTGTGTTTGTGATGCCAGTGATCGGATGAGACGAGCGCCTCGTCTTCCAAGAAGATACATACTCTCTTCCTGAAATGTGTGGCGGTTGTGCATTTCCTATTATAGATATGCATAGCGGAACTAGCCGATTCGCGCCGATTTTTACTTACTTGAGAGCAACTTCTTCACCAAAGCCACACCGTAATGGAGTCATGGAAGAAAGCGTTTGATCAAGGTGTAGTTGAGTTCAGGAGAGGGAATTACGATGTTGCATTGGCACGTTTCGACCGTGTAAATAAAACCCTTTTTTTTTTCGATCATGGCATCCCAAACTCAAAACCATTTGTTGTTGTTGTTTGCTATTTTAACAAGATACTGAACATGGTGAAGAACGAACATATAGTCTATGACACTCGAGCAGCAACGTTACAGAAGCTTGGACGCGTTTCAGACGCTCTCAAAGATGCAAAAATGGTTATCGACCTATGTCCAGATTCATACAAAGTTCGGTGCTGCTCTTACGCCCCCTTCCCCCCGTCTCGTCTCTTGACGTGTAGTTTGTGTAACCGAATAGGGATATTACCGCGCAGCCACATTATTCAAGTTGTTAGGACGTGTGGAGGCAGCGAAAAAAATGATCGATATGGCCCTAGCGCGTTTACCCCCCGACTCAGCCCGCAGTGCAACAGTACAGAAGACTTTGGCAGACATCAATGCAGCGGCAGAGAAAATGGATGATAGAAAGAATCATTGCTGGATTTCTAAGCTTCCAGTCGAAGTGTTGTCTGAGATGATGACATTTGCTTGTATGGATCAGCCTTGTTGTCGGGAACTGATAGGTTTGTTTCTTTGCCCCGGTTCACAAGGGTCTCGTGTTATATATATATATATATAACGCGTTCTAACAACGTTGTCGTTCGCCCGTCTTGGGTAGCTATTATAGGCGTGTGTCGGCATTGGCGTTACGTTGCGTTCGAGACAAGCTCCCTTTGGCAAACCTTGACGTTGGGACGATCCCGTCCTCTAAACAAACTTGCCGAATGGACCGCTCGAACTTCGAAGAATTCGGCAACGCGTTACGTCAAACACCTCGATATCACGGAACGAGTGCCTTCGTCTCATTCGATCGCCATCCTTGATAGGTGGTACCAAACACTTCGAGCGATCCCCTCTGAAACGTTGTTACAGCCGACATCCCTGACGTGGAAAGTGGATATCAGACTTTCTAGCTTCACTTGCTTCTTGTCGACTAATGCTTTCCCATCGAGTCTGAGGGAACTATGTCTGGATTTATCGGTATACTCTGAATCGGGGGACACTCATCAGGCGACCGATGCAGTCGTAGTCGCTCTGACGTCCACGTTTCCGCGTCTTTACATGATAGACACGGGGGAACCAAAGGATATTTTGGAGGAACGACCTGACGCTCTTGCTTCCCCCGCACCTCCTGACGCGAGGAATCCCCTCTGCTGCCATTTTATTCACACCCTAACCTTGATCGGCGCAGCATCCTCATACGTTCCTCTCGCTATTCCTAGAAAAGGACTTCGGACACTATCATTAATTAGATGCGTGCGTGACGCGCGCTCCCTTCTGGACGCAGTCTTTATCGCTTGTAGATCAAATTCAACTACACTAGAGACATTGGAAGTCGAGTTCAGCGGAGACGTACTTCTCGAAGACCTCGTTCAAGCGGGTGAACACATTAATCTTCCCGCTCTCAAATGCTTGGACCTTTCCAATGCAAGAGAAGCCATGAACGTTTTCACGAGGATCGTAGCACCCAATCTAGAAATCCTTCGAATCAAACGCACAGCTTTGGTAGCCGTGTGCAACGTTATGGCAGAGCTCTGGTGCATCGGCGACACCTACAGAGCTGCTCATCAATGGGTTGCATGGCGCCGAAGTTCTTCCCTCTCTTGGGCCTGTGGTTATACATCAGCCCCGCCCCTAGGAGAACTCCGTCTCATCCAATGTTGCATCAACGAAGAACATCTTATCCCCATACTGGCCACACTTTCACAGCTCAGAATCCTTCAAGTGACGAAGAGTGACTTTGACATCAACAAGGTCGTTTATGCGCTTGCCGGCGTTGACCCATCCGCAGCTGCAAGAGGGCAAGAAGGTTCAACGCGACAGTTGTTGTGTTCATCCCTGTGCGAGGTGGATTTTTCGGGATGTGTCAAACTCAAAGGAGGTGCATTACGAGATTTAGTCAAGTCTCGGTTGCACCCAGAGGCCATCACTTCCGTGAACAAGATCGGCGATGGGCCATCACCTCCCACACGGATGTCTTCTCCACTTCGATCCGTTACAGTTAACTACTGCCCCAAAGTGGAGGCGATTCTATTGCCCTGGTTCCGTTCAGTTGTACCCCTCTTCAGCTGCGTGTACCTGACGAGAGCAGAGGCAGCGATGGAAGCCCGACGAAGGAGATGATGATTTGGTGCATCACGTATCTGTACACTCGCTGTAGATTACAATGGGGATGACCGTGCTGTTCGAACTCATGCCATCGTGGGGCAATAGGACAGAATCATCACCAAGTGTGTATTGGGACGGACTGTCCAGTGACAGGGGTGCTGTATACATGGGATATATTTGAAAACGGGAAAACATTCCATCGGTATAGCGTGGACCGGCAGTGGTTTGATCAAGGGCTGCAACTTGTGTAAAGTTGGTTTTCATCTTTCCCCTGAGTGTCCTCTAAGCTAATCTAGCACGGAGCATGCGTGAACAATACAGAATTAATAGGGTTGAATAAACATCCATGAACAAGTTGTTAGAGAATCAAATAAGGCACTGTCCACATCTACGTCTTGCACTAATTTCTTGGCAGTCGCAATGGTTACTTATACTGGTTTAGGTCCACATGGTCAGTAAACTGTATGTATCGGTTACCCGCAACAACGACCCCTCAAGAAGGTTTAGGCATGTCCCTGGAGCCCGTACCCGAACGAGGGGATAAATTTGTGTCCGAACTGACATCATCTCACACATGATAATATGTATACTACTTACTTTCCTGAGCGGCAAAATACGGACCGGCCAATTACTCATGAACGTGATTTCACAAGACAATTGAATTCCAAATTGCGGCTGGGGCGCTCCACGCTTTTCGGGTTGGCGGCTGTTAATTCCAACCTCAGAGAGGTGTTTGGGCGGCGGCCTCGGTCTTCCGATCAGATCCGCTCTGGAAAAATATGTAAGTAATTTGAAAGCAGAATTACCAATCCAGTTGTAAGTATGTAGCGTGAAATTTGTCTGATAACTCATTTGGGGGTGCTTGCGTCCCCGAGGCGAACACTCTAGTGAGGAGTGGCCCTCCTTGTTGCTAGGAGAAATTAACGGCGAATTACATAGTACCCTTCCGTGTATACCATGCCGGGGGCCGTCCTCGCGAGCTTCAGTCTCGTCCCATGGGGAGGATACTGTGAGGCACCTACAAGCCGGAGTATTCTCTCCGCTGACATTGACAGTAACTCATTCAAATAAATTTAGCATCACGTGTCAGTGCGAAGAGTGGCCTAGCTGCGTTAAACCAGCCCCTTGGTCGCAAAAGAGTTCCCATAACGCGACATCCACACCATAATGGATGAATCAAGTCGATTGCTTCCACGCACCCCCGTGGTTGAGGACTGCAACGTGCCAGCGACGCGCAGAAAACCTCTGGTGGCTTACTTGGTACCATTCGTGATAATTTTGTCGATATCCGTGCGTTGTGTTCGAATAATAATGGCCACAAGGCTGAGTGACATGCATGTGGCTTACGTGCACCACAGCGTGGAATCACTATTGGCTCTCGTGTCCAAGTATACATGGATATAGGTGATCCCGTGTCCGATCAGTCAGTTTGGCGTCCTGCATGACTTATTCCTATGCACCATCTCACAGCGTGCAAAGAGAGCGTCAATAAATACGATTCGAACACTGATCTGCACTCGACGCCCTATGCCTTGGATCATTTTGCATTCAGCTTACGACGATCGGCCACCCCTCCAGGGCATGAAGTATATCTCCCAAATATCCAACTACCTACCACTTCCACGTCATCATTCTCTCCTTCGAAGGATTGCGTAGCTTCTCCTGCTGTTCAGGCGTCTGCTGCCGAGTTACAGGCTCTAGCATTGACTCTCAATGGAGCTCTTAGCGCTGTTACCACTGGCTTCTGGGGTACCTCGGGTAAGGTAGTATTCTGATTTATTACCGTTGCTCCATTGAGGCCGATGTAAAAATAGGCGACAAGTATGGGCGTACTCGAGTGATGACTTTTCTAATCTTGGGTTTGATGTTTTGGTATGTGCCCCCTCCCCCTTTTTTTTCAGGACAGTTGGGGGGTTTTTTGAGAACTTTTTTTTTTTGATTTGGGTCGTCTGTGGAACTTCAGGGACCTCATGTTCTCGGTAGTTTGTAGTCCACAATTCGCGACATCACCACGTGCTGCCCGTATTCTGGTCGTCTTCGGCGCCATAGTTGAAGGTTTGATGGGGAGCTGGGCGACTTTTTTCGCTACTATGAACGCCTACATCTCAGACTGCTCAGAACCAGGTGCCAGGTGACTGTACCCCCTTTTTTCGGTTTTTTCATGCGCAGCCTACTTAATGGCTTGTCGCCCATCCCTCTCAGAGCTGGCTTGTTCTCCTCATATGGAGGACTCTACTATGGGGGTATTGCCATCGGACCAGCCATAGGCTCAGCGTTTCTACGCATCTCGGACTCACCAGAGTTGTCGAACAACTTTTACCTTGCCTTGTTTTCCAATCTCATCGTATTGATTTACGTCACTTTTGCACTCCCCGAGAGCCTCGATCCCGAGGAGAAGGAACGCCTGCGTATAGGACGAGAAGCGCGGAAAAAGAAAGAATCGGCACAATGGATGACTGAACTTTCTCAGTACCCTCGTGATCACTCCTATTATTATTTGCGTTTGCGTCGTAGCTTGAGGAAGGTATTCAGATTTCTGGCGCCGTTGTCCGTCCTCGCCCCAAGGGTGTCTCCTGAATATGGTGGTTCCGATGAATCAGGGATTCCCAGGCGGAAGCCTTTCTGGCGGTGGGATTGGGATCTGACGCTAATTGGAATAGCGTTATGGTGTGCATATCTCAGTATGGTTGGTGACATGTCTTGTTTTTTTTTTTTTTTTCAAACTTAATGAATTTTGCTCACGCGCCTCTTTTCCAGGGGATTTTTCCAAACAAGTACTTGTATGCGGAACACGTTTACAACTGGACACCGGAGGAGGCATGTGGACACTTTTACGACTTTTTCTTTTCTTTTTCTTACCATCTCATTCATCGTCTTTGTAGCTTGGGTATTACATAATGTCAGTTGCAGCTGTTCGCGCCTTTTGGCTAGTGATCGCTCTTCCTGGTAAGTTATATATATATATGGGCCCGGGAATAATGGCAATTTAATTCGCGTCATGAAGCTCTTATTCAAGCATTCAAACCTCGCCTTCCCAAACCCATATCGGAGGTCGCAACCGGACACACGACCACGACCACGACCACGACCACTTCAGTAAATGAAGTCACTGCCGCACGCCGCAGAACATACTTGCTCCCCATCATACGCTTCGATCTCCGTCTCGCTCAGCTATCCGTGCTATGCGACACGATCGCATTCACGCTCACCGGTATTACATCCTCCCAAACTGCATTTATCATCACCACTGGCTTGAGTAGCCTCGGCGGGGGCATGCCACCCGCCTCCCAAAGCTTAGCTTTAGCCTTAGCAGTGGTGGACGGCCGTGGACGTGAAACTAAAGTCGTTTTTTCCGCCGCTCGTGATGGTGATGCTCCCACGGATGCCGGTAGCAGCAATGAGAATGCTTCTGTCTCGTTCGATGATGAAGAAGATGAGGCGGAGGCGGAGGCGGCGAATGTCGAAAATGTTGGGGTAGGGGAGGTGTTTGGGGCGATAAGCGTACTACAGGCAGTCGGGCAAACGATCATCGGGGTACGTCGTTTCAGTCAGGTTGTGCTTCCAAAAAGGTTAAGTTATATCCGTCGTCCTTCAATAGCCGCTCCTGATGGGGGAGGTCTACGCGTGTACCGTCGGGTTCTTTCCGCGCATGATGTTCTTGACAGGTGCAGGTTTGTTGCTTGTGGCCTTCATTTCCTTGTGCCTCGTAAATCCTGCCGTCAAGATACCGCCACAACAGAGTTTGGAAAGGAGAAATGAGTCATGACGAAGGGGGGGGGGGACACAGTTTTACAAATACATAGAGTACCACGCAATTTCATCGATTGATTCCAATTTTTAAACCCCGACGGTCATCCAGTATTATGATATCAGAGCTAGACTTGGACGCGCTGACACCTTTGAAACACGTATATATAGTGGCAAGATACAGCGGCGCGAGCACTGCGCGATGCACACCAAGCGTCGACTTCCATACTTTTGAGACATGAACTCTGATCATCCGTATACACCTGCAACCTCATGCTCAGCATTTTCAGTGTCACATCCGCCGAGATCTCGGAATCAACATCCCTCAAGGTCTTGCTGCGGAACCGCTAGAACGGGACTACAACTGCACGCAAACTTTAAAAGGATCCAGCACTTATTGGTACTCTCGTTATCCTTGATTGGTAATCCGGTTTCCACAAAAGAAATACATACGTGCATGCTCTAAGGGGAAGGGAAATGATTCGTCGAGACAGATTGCTCACAACTTGAAGGTTCTCTCATCTTCAGTCTCCACGTTTCACCGAGAGAAAGGAATGCCTCACTAGACGTCGGGATCACTGGGTGATGATCAGAGTGGGAAACCCCTCCGTTTCTTCAACAAATGACAGTCAATTGGTAGAGTGGTATGATACTCAAGCATTGGTTTTGGCGTTCTCCACGGGGGCGTTCAACAGACGATGAAACGGTTCATCGTGACAACCACTTTACAGTTAGCTGGCTATTAACCAGCGCCACGCAATACTATTGGCAATGTAGGCGGGTTTTCGTTGAACGTAGGTGTGAGCATTTCAAAAATAGGCCAGGCTATGTCGTTGTGCCCCGTTAAGTTATCAACAACACGAGGATTTTCACAGTCTGAATTCGCATGCTCTTTGATGACTTCCCAGTATGTAGATAGGCTCAAACAGCATATCATCTTGAGGCAAAAAAATTGTATCGGAATGACCAGAGTTCTCGAGCATGACGTCGAGCTTCAATGAGCTAGTTGGGCATAGGTCGGTCGAATATCAAGGCGGCAGGCAGTTGTTGCAATCAGCGAGTCCCGTACGTACTCGATCTGCACTTGCGTCCTCTCCCTGCAGAGAGAGCTAGAAGCCGCGAGTTTTGGACAAGGTTCAGGCACCCAAATGGGGAAGTCTGAGGTTCACGTATATGCACAAAGGAACCCTGGCAAAGTCGGGGATCGCTTACGTAACGTATCACAACTCGTTCCGTACAATCACTTCGTTTCGCTAGGCAAAAAGATGGGGCTCGTGCCCATTCTCACCTGTCCATATATGCCCAGGGTAAGAGGACTGGATGTACGCAAATCTCGGAGAAAAGGACCGCTGTGAAAAAATCGCCGTAACAATTGGATTCAAGGGCAACCCCGAGTGACGCGAAGCAATGTGTTTAGATGCCAAGTAGGTACAAATACAACGTGTGATCGGAACAGACATTACAGAAGCAGCAACGACAAGAGAGATGCACGAGTGCATGAAGAGAGCAAGCATATCATCAAACTACAAACATCATCGGCTGGCGGTGACGGTTTGTGACAAAGCTCAGAAAAACGAAAACCAAGAAAAAAATTTGATAGATGTGGAATGGGATGTGGAATGGGATGAGAATGGGTTGGAAGGGACTACAAGAAAAAAAACAAAGACGAGACGAGATGTACGATGGGATTATTATTTGTGCTTTAGGAACCAAGAAAAAGATTGCGGTTTGCAAACCGGACCGTAGACCATAAGACTGCACAAATGCGCGGTATAAAAGAAAACAAGTAAACAGATCAGCACAAGTCCTTCCTCCCCCCCCTCCTCGGACGTGTGACTTCACTGCGAAGTATAGGTTTGTGTTGTAGTGCGCCGTACTTGATTGCGAGAGAGTCTAAACCATTCCCAAACGATACTTTACCAAATCCTCCAAAAGCTCAACGCACTCCCCTGCCTGAATCCTCACCAGCCCATCCTCATCCGTCATGCGGACGTACCTCAAGACATTATTCAACCGCTTGGTGTCTTCGTCCATCGGATCGCCTGATTTCGACGGACCCTTCGCGTGAGGAATATCCCTCTTAGAGGGCACTGACAACGTTTCTAATCCGATACCTTGTGGGCCCGAGAATGAAGCGCCGTTCACGGACGAACTATCATAAGAGCGGGATAGCCATGTTCGAATGAGTAGCGCAATGAAATGAAGCGCTGCACGACGGAACGATGGAATCTTTGCGCTTTTCGTTAAAGGTGGGACAGAGTCTTCATAGTCATGTCTCGCGGTTGAAGACGATGCCGATTTTCCGTCACTCCTTAACGAGGTTGTCTTCCCATTAGTCGGGACAGTTACGAGGCTCTTCTTGCGATTGGGACATGACGGAGTCGCAGATGCAGCGCCAGAGGACCCCACAGGGGCATGTCGAGATCCCAACGCAGGCGGGTCCGGTGGTTCTGTTTGTTTCAGTTTCGTCGGGACACTCTCAACTTGTAAGAGGTCCACGAGAGCAGAAGTCAACTCTCCACTCCATGTAAGGATTGCATCCGGAGCTGCATCTGCACATAAAGCAAGCACTGAAAGAGCAGATGTTCGAAGTGTCGTTGGAGCGTGTGTAGATCGGAACACCAGAATAAGAGGAGGTATGATCGTTTCGGCTGATTTCAAGGGGCCTTTAGTTATCCCAGAATGAACGGAAAAAAAGGGGTGGCTCACAATGACCGCCTAACGCTCCTCCTGTCCTCCTTACGACCTGTTCAAGAGCCTCACCAATCCTCAATCTCTTGTCCATCTCGCGCTTACTCATCTCTCCACCTCCCCTGCCGACTTTCAGCCCGCCCACGTAAACACTCACCAACCTCCGAACAACCTCTTTCCCCACACCACCCGACACGGTCCCCAAAGCAGCAAGACCTCGCACCGCATGGAGAAAAATAAATGAATCATCATCCTGGACGGCTTCAATAAAAATAGATAGAATAGCAGGGATCAGCGCGTGTTCCGCTGAAAGGGTGTTCGAGTAAGGTGGCTTGGCATTGGAAGAAACAGAAGGAACAATAAGTTGTCTGAGCATTGTTAATCCATATGCCCGCACTGGTAAGATAGGATCTTGAATCAGCCGAAGTGCTTCTTGATAGATCGACTGTTGATCTGTTCGGGGACCCTCTTTTACTGTCCCTTGTCGACCTCCTGGAGGATCTTCGTCGCCGTCCGAGTTTGCTCGGTATGAGCCGGTTGTTGATGTAGGTGAAGGAGGGGGGATGATAGAGGAGCGAGTCGTGATGACTAGCCGAGCTTCAAGTGCTGGCTTACGAATTGATGGTGAGAGGTGGTCCATCAGTGTTTCGAGATTGTGGAAGATTACGAGCAATATGGGTGAGGTTTGGGGTGTCAGATCGGGATTTGCTAATTCAAAGGTGGACCTAATTAATCGCGAAATCTCATGGCGTTAGAGACCATTCGTACCTTCGAGGAGGCTCAAGAGCAGGTTGATAGCAGTAAACGCCATCTCATCGTCACCCCCTTTAACCAATGGCCTACTGTCATCAATAGTTTCATCACTCTCATCATCACTATCCCCTCCGTCCATGTCATCATCAGAGAAATCGCTCTCGTCATGGACGATCTTGAGATCATCGAGAGTCAAACGTGCTTTGTCGGTGGAGCCCTCGGCCTTCCGTCGGCTGATACCACGTCCAGCCCGAGACATTGAATCCATTGCAGCAGGCTCGAGAGCATGAGATATAAATCCCAAGATATGGTGCGTCTGCGATATCACAGACGTGTCCAACTGCTGAATCATCTCAAGCACGATCGAGAGACAAAGCATTGCCCTAGGGTAAATAGAATTAATTAAGCTAGATCGCCTTCAGATCCTTACCGAACGTACCGGACCGAGTCACCACCAGCCCTCCTACGCAAATGGGATGATTGTCGCAAAGCACTGTACTCATCCAGCGTGCGGATGAAGATCGCCCCAGTCACTTCTTTACGGTCGAAACCTTTGAGTAAGCTAACAAAGTGGACTGGATTAGGCCGTATTTCGAGCGGTCCTGCCGTCGAGGAACCTTTTTTCCCAAGAAGTTTGCTGACGTCGGGAAGGAGCGACGATCTTCAGGCACAATATCGAAAACGGAAGAAATGAATTAGCCTCCACAAGGTAAGGAAGCACGATCGGCCCTATCGCCCCTGGGTCCGCGGTTACGAAAGCTTCACTTACTTTCGCTGTTGGATGACAAGTTCGCCGCCGATAGCGGCCCATTCATTCCAAACTTGATCTTCCTCGTCAACAGAAAATTCGGGATGAGACGTGCTTGATGAGGGCGAGGATGACCAACCACCGGTTCCGGTGATCACGTCCCACCAACCATTTCGAGCGTCGAGAGTGCTGATGACCCTGGCCCAAGTTCTGATCAGTCCTTGCGTCATCTCTTTCACCTCCGGACTCTTTAATACCACACGTGGGTGGGTATCAAAAAACTCGGTCAGATAATACAAGGGCACCAGCACAGGAGTGATCAGAAACGAGATGAGTGTTGGTGATGGGTCGGTGTTAAGAATAAAAGCAGCGAGGAATCTGATGGATGAATGTACAGTCTTGAACGGTGGGAGTGAGTCGGAATCTGAGGAAGTAGCCAAGGAGGGAGACGGTTTGGGAAGAAAGGGTGAATGAACGCACGACAAGAGCAAATTTGATGCAGCTTCTGCGGTGGAAGGGCGAGTCAAGATGCGAGCGAGGGCGAATGCTGCGCCTCTGATGAATGGTCTTGGGATGACTTTGATTTGTGCCTCAGACGGATTCTGTACCGGAGTTGAGCCATCGTTGTTGGCGTTGTCTGGAGAAAGCAAGAGGGGAAGCAGTCGAGGAATGATTGTGCGAAAATAAGCCTTGATGGATGTAAGGATGAAAGTGAGATCAGTGAGAAAGCTCGCACGTTGGATGACGTACAGCCTTGGATAAAACTTTTGGGGGAGTGCTCAAGATTTGAGCGATGTGTTCTAGACGCGCCAGGGGTGCATCTACGTGGGAAAAAAACCAGACAGTGAGAATAGAGTTATAAAATAAAAAAAAAGGCGAATCATCGCGGAGGCAAATCAATTTGATATGGATTATTGCAATGACGAAATGACGACGGGGTTCCGAGGAAAAAGAGGGAAAAGAGAACGACACCCCTCGGAGCAAACAACAAACTCACCGTTGACCCCTTCCTCAACATCACCGAGCACAGCGGAGAACAATCCAATCACTCCGTCCGGCCTTAGTAGTTGCTGAGTGAGCAAGTTTGAACACCCCTTCAACAACGATGCTGGCGGAGATGGGAAGGAAGGCGGCGGTGACATAATACCGCCTAACGACGCTATCGTTTGCGCGGCTGGCAACCTACAGGGACAGGTATACTATATTAGTCCTCCTCATTTAGCCGGGCTTCACACGCGACTTACATATTGAGCAGACGTCTGGTGTATGTCGTCATCTGAACCGCCACGCCAGAGTCGACTGTTGCAGTTTGGGTGCCATCGTGCCACCCCAGGTATATTGCGGGGCGCAGCATATCTGTCGCGTGTCGTGTCAACAATACTTGTGTGATATGTGTCTGTCGCAACGAATTGCTTTGATGTCCGACGCCGTTTGCAAGACTCGGCTCTGCCTTGATCGGCGCCTTATTACGAAAGACTAGTTCATAGATGCGAGTAGCGGCCTTATTCAGGTCCACGCGGTGGTTCGTTGGATCGATCTCCATGGGTTGTTGCGCTGAGGGAGGTGAGCCTGATGCTGGATCTCTTGGTTCACTCTTCCAGAGCTGAACAAGTTGTTGTTCCACTCCCCACTTGAACACGATGGATAGTAGCATCCTAATCAGACCCATATCGCGCGTGCCGATCAATGGAGGAGCAGCTAAAGAAAAAATCCTTGTCAATCATCCCTGCCCACATCCCCAAGGCAGAAAACGAAAACTCGAGACATATGCCTTACCACCAATGCCTTGATCCACATCCAGGAGGCCCTGTATACGCTCCAACAGACAGAGCGCATAGTCTGCCGTCGCTTTTTGCAGAACGAGCTTATCGCTTGAAGCCACGGTGAAGTCATTACTGAGAACAACACACGCAGCCTCTAATCGACGCCCTAGCACATCTGCCATATCCTTTGCCTGGGCTTTTTCTTGACCATCTGCCGGGCCCGTAAGCGTCTCAGCCGCCTTGAGGAGCTTTGACAACTCTTCCCTGTTGGTATTCATGACGGCTTGACCGTCTGATTCGTTTTGGAAACGGGTCACGTGTGACTCCAATTGAATGGAGCCATCCTTCCAGTGGATTCTGTTTAATTTTGGCCACAAGACATAGGCAGGTGACCCGGCCTCTCTCCACAGGACAGGCTTGACTGAAAGTCGATTAAGTACTTAGACGACTATGGACAACGTTCTGGACAAAAGTAGGCCTGGGCTGTCCCATGATGCCGAGGCCTTTGCACCTGCTGACGGTCACGTTGATTTACCGTCAAATAATGCTGCCCTTGATTTAGCGAGCGATGGCGATCTAGACGGCTTTTCTGATAACGATTTGTCCACTGACTACGACTCTCAACTCGAGGCGGAAACATGGGAGGAATCTTTGGCGCGTGTGGATGCTGAAGATTGGGAATTGGCCGATCGAGGTACGAGATTCCATCCTCGTAGAATCTAGCTTACTACTGTTACAACCGCCCTAACATTCTATGGCCCAGATTTCACAAAATCATACAATCGTTTACGGCAGGCTCTCGAGGTTCGAACAGGCCAAACAACCGACTCTGCAAAGCCTCGTACGTCGACAATGCCCATGCCCGCAACAAACCGACCACGACCACCCCAGCCTCACGTTAACGCGACATCTGGCACAACAGACGCGTCCACGCCCTCGACCAAACAAAGGAAACTCCAAACTGACCAACTGACAGCCCTAGCAAAGTACAATTCCCGCATAGCCAACCTCGCTCTTCCCTATCACGGCCTGGCCGGTGTAGCAGCCAATCCGAAGGCGGCCAATGATCGTTTACCCATTAAGGATAAATCAGACCGTGCAACGAACGAGCAGGTCTTGGATCCCAGAACGAGAATTATCTTGTTCAAGATGATTAACAAAGGGTTGATCGAGGAGATCAATGGGTGTGTTAGTACGGGGAAAGAGGTAGGTAACCGAAATGTTTTAACCCCCATCATCCGCTCCATACTTTCTTCCCTGTTATAATACTCTAAGCCTTCCCAAAGTACACACTATCTCATTTATTTACTAGGCAAACGTCTACCACGCTCTAACACCCCAAGGTCGTCATATCGCCTTAAAAATCTATAAAACCTCCATTCTCGTCTTCAAAGATCGAGACAAATATGTCACTGGAGAATATCGATTCAAAAGCGGATACAGTCGTCACAATCCACGTAAAATGGTTCGGGTGTGGGCCGAGAAGGAAATGAGGAATCTGAGGAGGCTAGCTAATGCAGGGATCCCTTGTCCGGAGGTTTTGGAGGTTAAGCAGAACGTGCTCGTGATGACTTTTTTGGGCGATAAGGAGGGGTGGTGAGTGTTCTTTCGCTTCTTGTTTGGCTGGTCAAGAGTAAATTGACCGTTTAGATAGGGCTTCTCCCCGATTGAAGGATGCGCACGTCCCAGCTGGTGATGCTGAGGCGTTATACGTAGAGTTGGTGATCATTGTTCGACGACTGTACCATTCATGCAGACTGGTCCATGCCGATTTAAGCGAATACAATCTGCTGTGAGTCCACAACGTACCCTCAACCGGATGGAAAAAAACTCCTTTCTCATCCCAATTTGGTTATCGCATATTAACTTCCCAGCTACCACAACTCCCATCTTTATGTAATCGATGTCTCACAATCCGTCGAGCACGATCATCCATCTGCATTCGATTTCTTGCGTGCAGATATCAGGAACGTGGATGAGTTTTGGACCAGAAGAGGAATTCAGACGCTCGGATTACGACGAACATTCGATTTTGTGGTTTCGGATCAGGTGTTGTCGAATGGAGAGGAAGAAACGAATGAACGTCTTGAAGAGTATATTAGAGCAGAGGTATTGCGCCTCCAGGAAACGGAGGAGCTGCAAATACAGCATGACTCTACCACAGCTTCCGAAACGGTGGTGTCATCTCCGCCACCGATAGACCCCTCGTCAGTGAAGCCTCCTCCTTCTGCCACCTTTGAACAACGAAAACAAGTCCGGATATCCGAACCGCAGCCATCATCATCATTACCACCACCACCACCACCTGCAGCTCCCGCCAAATCCAACCTTCCCATCCCTCCCCCAACGTCGGCTGGCGATGAAGCCCTGGAGGATGCCGTTTTCATGCATTCCCACATTCCACGTACCCTCAACGAAGTGTTCGATCCTGAGAGAGATGTCAGGAAACTTCAACGTGGTGAAGGCGACGAGCTTATCTATGGAAATATCACGGGCGTAGTGGAAGCGAACCGGGCGCCCGTTGCTGACGAGAGTGAGTCGGAGGTAAGCGATGAGGATGACGAAAGTGGAGACGATGACGACGAGGATGAGGATGAAGACGAAGATGGAGATAAACGTCGTAAACCCCGTGGACGTCGATACGCGGACAGAGAGGCAAGCAAGGTATGAGATTCTTCGCAGTGGCATACTAAGCATATTCATTAACATCGGGTACTCGACTGCTAGACGCATAAAAAGGCAGTAAAGGAGGCAGCTAGGGAGAAAAGGAAGAACAAGATGCCTAAAGCTGAGAAGAAGAAGAAGATCAAGCAAACGAAAGGGAAAAAGTAATAAACTTTCCAGGCGATTGGAAGGTGTTAATTGTAGATAGCCTCGTTTATTTTAAATTCTAGGCAGCTGAACTTCATCCCACTTTTCACCCCAACAGCTGGATGGAATCGGCTAAAAATTTGGCACCCGAGTGTTTGGGAAAAAACACAGGAGCGATTTTTCGGATGGAACGTTTTGATGGGTTTCTGAGAATTTGGATAACGGGGTTGCGCAGCATTAGCTAACTGCTCTAATATTTTATAGCCTTGTATTTGACATAGATTACCTGCACAGCAGAGTCACTTCCCCAGCCCACAATTAGGTAATTTTTTACACTGAAAATGTGCATTTACTTACGCACTACAAGTGGGTGCGCCCATGCACCCCCGAGAGGTAGAAGATCGTTGACACGCCGGACCACAGTACGCTGAGTGAGAACCTTCACTTTCATAACCGATGAAGTTCGCCCATTGGGATAACCTGCTACATTCGTTCGGTCTTGGTGGCCTTCACAACTTGAGGTAGAGGCGAACTGCCCATATATCCAATTCGTTAAGTACGGTTGCGGTATGAGAGGAACAACGTATCTTCCGTTTCTTTCCCTACCTATTCCTAATGCTGGCGGATAATGGTGGGGAGTCATTGAATACACGCCCTCTTTCAGTTCTTGGGTGACCCGAAATCCGTTTCGTAAGCATGAACTTCCGGTTCGGTTAGCTGCCAACGTCTATGTCATCTCGTCGGCTCTCAGAATCTATGTCATTAATATTGTCGCGCTTGCAAGTAATCCCGGGCCGGCTGCTTGGTTTTACAATATGGACATGACAATCGGCATCGCCGCCTAACTGAACCTTGTAGATTGGTGACAACTAGGCTCGCCTATTGGCTCCTGTTCCCCTTGAAGCACTGACCGATACTACCGCAATCTTCCCATTTCTCTTCCATCAAATCCCGCCGTATTGTCCGGCCCTGGAGACACCACGCTCGAAATCCGAAGTGGCCCCCAAGGATTGAGAGGGTAATGGAAGGATTCCGTCACTCCCCTTGTTACGTACCGCAGCCAAAAATACTCCGAAGCCATCACTCGAGCAGGGTTTCTGACATAAGAGTACAATCAAGTTATACTTCCCCTTGGGCCCACAAAGATGGAACCCGCCTCTAGCTCAGGCTCACGAAGGTTGCACTGTCGTCGATATTATCCCAGCT